TGTTCCTGGGCTATCTTCATGTGGCTTGACATCTCTCTTACCCCATCTCTGCTTCCTTAGTCTCCTCTTTTTATATTTTGTAAGAGATTGACTCAGACATACCTTACACTAATCCTGTCCAAAGACAACTCATTCTCAAATGGACTGTAATCACAGGCTTTGTTGTTGTTGTTGTTAAGTGCTGCTGACCATGCTGGCTTCATCTCTCATACTTAGGAGATATTATCAGAAGGCACCAGTCCCTGGAGAAGAATGTCATGTTTGGTAGAGTGGAGGGTGGGAGTAAAAGAGGAAGACCCCAGTAAGATGGACTGATACAGTGTCAGCTGCAATGGGCTCAGCCTTAGCAACGATTGTAAGTTTGGTGCAGGACCAGCAGTGCTTCATTCTGTTGTGCATGGGGTCTCTATGAGTTGACACCAACTCGATGGCCCTTAACAACAACAATGAAGAACTGTACTCTAATAAATTTGAAAATATAGAAGAAATTGATACATTTTTAGAAAAACATGACGTACCTAAACTAACACAGAGACACGGTGAAGCTGAAATAGCTATAACAAAAGTAGAGACTGATCAGGTCATTATAAAAAAAACTCTCAACAAAATCAAAGTCCTGTCCAAAATAGGGTTTCCAAAGAGCAACTGGTGAGCTTGAATTGCCAACCTTGCAGTTCAAACTGACTTTGCTGTCCAGTGCATTAACCCACAGTGCCACACCAGAACTCCAATTAGTCATTAGAGAGATGAAAATCAAAACAAGATTATCATCTCACCCCAGCATTAATAGCTAAGTTAAAAAAAAAAAGGCAGAAGACAACAAATGTTGGGGAAGTTGTGGAGAGACTGGGGCCCCCTACATTGTTGTTGGGACTGTAAAATGGTCCAACCACCACGAAAAATGGTGTGGCACTTCATTGGAAATAGAAATACCATTATGACCTAGGAATCCCTCCACTTGGTATACATCCACATGACATAAGAACCAGGACACAAGTAGATAGACATATGCATACCAACATTCATCACAATACTATTCACAATCTCAAAAAGACGGGGACAACCTAAATGCCCATTAATGGAAGGGTGGATAAACAAAATTTGGTACAGACACACAATGGAACATTATGCACTGTTGAAGAAAAACGATTAACCTGTGAAGCACCATATAACATGGATGAGCCCGGGGGGCATCATGCTGACTGACACTAGTCAATCATAATAGGACATATATCGTATGAAACCACTATTGTAAGAACTCAATGTTTCATACTAAAAGAAACATTCTTTTATGGTTACCAGGGTTGGGAGGGAAGGGAGAGTAAATTCACTGGATAGAAGTTAGACTCTTGTTAATTCAGGTGACAGGAAGGACAAAAGAAGAAGGAGGTTGGCAGAAGAATAATGAAGACAGGTAAAGACATAGGGAAGTATACAAAGGCTAAAGGGGAAGAGGTACAGAACAACAGTGTTTTGTGGGTAGATATATGGAGAGAGACACAAGCTGAACAGGTATGGGAGGAAGAGTTGGAGTATACCTACAAATAATGGTTTGAAAAAGGAAATTTGTACATGGGTATTTACCTTTTTTGTAAACACAACTATGAATGCGGTGGAGCTTACACCAGGTAAAATGATGAATACTTCTTAGAGATTATCAAACACCTTAAGGCAATTAGTTGCTGGACCTGGGGACTCAGGGGACACCATGGTCAAGTGGCCTAACATAGTCCGCAAAGATAATGCTCTACCATCCTACTTTGGTCAGCAGTGACTTAGATCTTACAAGCTCATGAACAGTCTAAGGTGTAACTATGGGTCTTTCCATGTGTGGAAGAAAGAAGAGTGATGATAATTGAAGATGTCTGAAATCAATTAGTCCAACAGACTAATGGAATGTGTGAACATCAGCCTCCCTGGCTCTGAGACAAGAAGAACTAGAAAGTGCCCAAGTACTTGTTCTAAAGGCTCTGAAAGGGATCACATTAGAAGGTGTCAAATAGAGTGGGGGAAATGAAGAACAAAACTCAAAATTAATATTAATTTTAAAAAGACAGGGCTTCTTAGCCAGAAAGAGACTGAAGGAATCTGAGACTATGGCCCTCAACCACCCTTCAGGTCTGGAAAGGAAGTCATTCTCATGGCCCAATTATCAGTCGAGCAGTACATAGGTATATAGGGGGGATAACAATGCTAGTAAGGTATGTTCACTACAGAATGGCTAATCATTCCAAATCAAAAGGGCAACATTTATCTAAGGACGTAGTTCAGAAAGGTTAGGAAAGAGGGCAGAATTGAAACGGGAAGCACAGGGAGGAAGCATGATACCTACTATTCCATGGAGGGGATTGCAATCATTGAGATGAAATAAAATATGTTATTTGTTGACTGAAACTAATGATCTTGTCTGTAAACTTTCACTTAATTCACAAGTTAAAAAAAAAAAAATCTACTGTTCTAATTTTTTATGTTTTAGACATAAAATGGTATATTATGTAAAGGTCAATTTTTTAAAGATAAATGTTGAGAACCATAGGAATCCAAAAAATATAAAACAAAGAGGTATATCTAATGAACAAAAGGCAGAGAGTAATTAAATAAAAAATACTTAATTCAAAAGAAAACAAAAACTTTTTTTAAAAAAAGGAAAAAAAACCCCCAGAACATACAGAAAGATGATTGATTTAAATACTATCATATCAAAAATTATACTAAATGTAATATAAACACAAAGCAGCACAATGCAGTTTTTAAACACAACTATGTAAGAAATTAATTTGAAATCGATAACATACCTAAATAAAAAACTAAAGTCATAAACCTTGTGAAAGAACATATACAAGAAAACTTTTGTGTTACTGGGTTAAGCAAATTTACTTA